AGAGAACAGCCCAGAGTAGAAGAGAATGCTGCAAATAATGGGCTTGGTTATCACACAGTTAGCAACATGTACATCTCTTAGATTTTTTTAAATTACTTTGTGACAAGTGGTTAGATAACAACAATTTGGTAGACAATGAGTGATAACTGCTAAGAACTTCATAATCCCTGGTTTTACTGTTGTAATAATTGATAGGTAAAGCATTAATTCAGTATAGGACAATGAGAGAGTGAATGGCCAGCAACTAGAACCTGAAAACAGCGGGCTAGTATCGGCAAGGTGGTACAGGCTACATGGCACACCTGGCTGTGTCTTCCCATATTTCACTGCCACCTGCTTATTAATCTGCCTCTTCCCCACTCACAAGGCACTCACTCACACAAATACTGCAACTCCAGCAGCAAGGGCATCGGTGTGCATCACATAAGCAACAGAGGCACAGAGGTGATGCCTGATGGAATCCGCAGTTTGAGCTGACTGCTCGTCTACATACACTCATGATAAGAGGTGATGCCTGATGGAATCCGCAGTTTGGGCTGACTGCTCGTCTACATACAGGTATTGTTTATGATGCTTGGAGAGATGGTGCCCAAGCAAGACAGTCAACCAGCCTAAGCCAACAAAAAGCAAACATTTTCACTATCTGAATCCTAGGAAGGTGGAAACAGCTGGGGAAGCAACTGCCCCCCCACTGTCCCCAGTATCTACCACCTGAGAAATCTGCCTCCTTTTGCCTTGTGCCTTGTGCCTTATGTTGGCAAACATGACCAGAATCCAAGACTCAACCTTGCAAAACATTCTGGTCACCCACAGGGACCTTGCATATTGCTTTTCAGAGAGCAGTGACTTTAGACGCTCAGTGTTTCTCCTAACCACCCTCTGCTCCATGGCAAACAGTTTTGGGATATAGCATAAGGTTGGGAGTTTGATTCTTCACTGTGCCTCCTTGGCAGGGGCTGGACTTGATGATCCATAAGATCCCTTCCAGCTCTGCAGTTCTAAGACTATTAGAAGCAGCTGCTGTTAAAAAAGCAAGAAAACCTAAATGTGTCTGTGCAAGAGTTTGGACTTCCTCTTGTATCCCTTTCTTTCTGTAACCACAAGAACCAAACACCAAGAGCAGGAGAATATTTGGGGATTCATTCTATATCTTAAATAATTATGGAGAAAAAGTATCAACCAAATCCTCTAATGCATATTGTATTTGCCATGTTCCAATTTATATTTTAATTAATCCCCAGTTTGATTAACTATACAAAGTTTTAGCATATTTTAAACAATCATGAACCCCAATATTGTGAAGGACATGAGTTAAACAGAAAGACGCCGTTTACCCTACCCTGCAAGAAAGTAAAGCATTAGGGAAAAGTCCAGCTGACTCATTCAGGTGATGTTGGCAAAACAATTCTTATCTATATACGTCAGACAGGTAGAGGACCTCACGGATTCCAGTGAAGATCAAAACATGAGAATTCACCATAAAAAAAAAACAAGTGCTACATATTTCTCACTTAGATCTGTGGGTTTGGTGAGAGGACTTCTCACTCAGTGTGATGACCTTCCAACTTGCCTGCTCTAAGACAAAAAGCAACAGAAATCAGGGCAATGTAGGGCAGTGATCCTCAACCAGTCAACCAGTAGTACATGTATCTCTGGTGGGACACACATAACCTTCACTAAGAATTTGCTCTCCCCTCCCTTGCCTTTTTGCAAGTGTGACATACCATCTTCTACCAACTTTATCTGTCATATATGATCCACCTGTGACCTTCTGGCATACTACTAGTGGCTTTGGACGCTCAGTGTTTCTCCTAATCACTTGTTATCCTGCTCTCCAACTTACTGTACTATAAACAATTATGTAATAACAGAAGTTCAGTACTATATTATAAACATATAAAGGTCCTTCTTGGAAAAAGTTTTTTTTTAAAATCATAGTAGGATTTGACAGAAAACTGGAAGAACACCACATAGGGAAGCTTGAGAACTTCTGATGTGGAAAATTTTCTTTATTCATGAACAGCTGTCATCCACAGCACAACACAGTAGCCCAGGTGTGCTCTACAGATAGATCCTAGACAATTCTCACTGGTTTATGGAGATTCCACCACCCATCCAATGTCAGGAATTGCTATCGACACCAAGGCATGTCTTTTATCAAGACAGGTAGAAACTGGTTTAGCTTCTACTAAACAGATGAAAACCGGCCAATGGCACTGATGTTTTTTTCTGAGACCAGCATTGGTAGTGTTTCCTACTGTAACCCCATACCAACTTTGGAAACCTTATGACTACAGAATAAAAAATAAAACCTGCCGTAAATGTCACAGAAGGTTTAGTGGAAGCTAGAATTTTACGGTCTTTCTCTGAAAGAAAAGCAGAATGGACTCAAGTTGCAGATGTCTCCACTAAGATCATTGCTTAGATGGTCATATTTTAAAACAAAACATGTTACCCATCACTTGTCACCAGACAGGTTACCATTATCAGTATCACTGTTATTATCAGATAAATAATTTACTGCATTATTCCAACAACAGGTTAGAGAGTACAAGAAAATATACTTTGTTTATTTCAAATGGTTAGCTTTGATTCTGGACCTTGACAATATATAGAAAAAAAGAGAATACCAAAGAATTCTTCCCTTGCTACTTAGGACTGACAAAAGAATGGCATAAAGGATTAAAAATATTTTAAAATTTCCTCTGAAATGGCTTAAAACATTCTTTCAGAACAACTTTTTCAAAGTAACTAGGTGTTACTCATTACACCTAAGTAAATAGGTTACTTAGATGTTACTCATTACATTTAAAATTGTTTTTAACTACAAGGTTGTCATACATGTTACTGAAAAATGTAGTCATACACAACTACATTATGAATAACTAGCTACCTCTTAGCTCTGACTTAGATATACTGTATCTCAATTCAGTGCTACTTAGTGACTAAACTATTACAACACTATCCTATTTATCTTCTCTCTTCCTTCAAGAGATGCTCAGGTTTACCAGTAATTGAAGTACTAAGGTGCACACCTTTTCCCTGCAATTTTGTTATTATGCCATTTTAAAATAATATTTATAAGATCCGCATTTGCTTGAGAAGCAGCCTTGAGAAGCAGCATCAAACAATTAAGTCTCCATAGACTTAATTTCCTCTGCTGAGGTCTCCCACAGCAGTGGTGGGGAATCCAGAACTTTCCTGGTTTAATTCTTTACTTTCTTGTTTCTAAACACATGTGCATATTCTGTTAAAGCAAAGACAAATAAAATATTACTATGTTCATGGCTGGTGGCTGACCCATGAACATCACCTGATGACTTACAGCTGAATGTAAGAACCTCGTATGGTGACCTAATGTTCTGCCCATGGTTTATTTGTGACACTCTTACACACAAGAAGATCATCACCACCTGATTTGCAGACATTATGTTATATGTGTAGGTGACAGTTTATTCCCCTTTCTCACATATCCATCCAAGAGTAAAAAGTCGATGGTGGCAGTGAACCTACTGGAGGGTTTTTGACAGCCACGAATGTAATAGACAGCCACGAATGTATTACAGTGTCCCTTAAAATATATTTCCCTGTCTATTATGATTAAATGGTATTTGGGAAGGTGTTGAGCCTGACCACTGGTTTAGACAAATAATTTACTGCATTTCGGATTAATACTACCAACAGGTGAGGAAAATAAAATAACACCAGAATATAGAATATTTTGTTGTCATTGTGACACAATCATGAGATTCTGTTGTCACCTACCAACAGAGGAATCTCAAATGTTGCTGCGTATTTCTATATATAGATATACAGTTCAATTAATTTTAGAATTATAAACCAATTTCATGAGACATTAACTAAGTCAACAGAAAGATGATCACTTGTTTTAGAGGTATAGTTCAATGGAGTAAGGAAAAGCTATGGACTCAAACCCATCATTAGTGAATTAAGCATCTAGAAAAACAGAAGTGGCTTGACGTCATTCTGAAGTTCTTAAATATTGACATAAAGGATGTCTCTTTGCAAACAATTAAACAGAACTTGGTAACCTGTTAGTTCAGTATAGTGGCCACTATTTGCAATGTGATTTTATCAGGCTAGGACATATATTTAATTATTCTTCATTTATGGTTACTTTGTTCAACTATAATTTGTCACATTTAGGAGTACTTAATCTTTTCTTAGTTGACCAAATAACCTCAACATATGCAGGGTATCAGTATGGGACCAAGCAAACTAAGATGAAAGGAAATGCAAACTCTCTAGTAGAGGAAAAGTAATTAAAGGCAGAATCCAGCCAAAATAAATCATAGAACAGTAGAGCTGGAAGGGATGCCAAAGGTCATCAAGTCCAACCCCCACCAAAGAAAGAAATCCAAAGCACTGAAGAGCTGACTGAGAATGTGATGGCACTACTTGGAGTTTAAGACACAATAAATAAACTTTACTCCCCACTGGAGAATGAATGATGTGCATATATGACCTAACAACTGAAATTAGAGGAACATAGAAGTTGTCAACTTTTTGAACAGGAGCAGAGCTCTGTACAAGGGCACATGTGTTCCATACAGAAAGCCCCAGATTCAATAACTGGCATCTCCAGCTAGAAAGAATCAGGTAACTGATCAGCAGAAAGACTTCTGCCTGATGCCATGGAAAGCCACTGCCACTCAGAAAAGACAATTCTGGGCTATACAGACAAACTATCTGGTCTGGTGCAAAACAGCTTTCCTAGCTTTGGCTGGTTCATGTCTCAACACACTTTACTAAAAGAAGAGGTGTAGTAATTTTTTCAACAAACAGAAAATAAGACTTACTTATTTTCTCCAGGCTTTTAGGCTACCAGAAAGTAAGAAATATTTATTTACAAAGGTTGGACATAAGCAATCCTCTTTCAAGCTTGTTGTGAGTCACATTATATTCTCATACTATCTTTCCTTCCATTAGTTGCTGCAGGAATACCCGATCAAAGAAAAAAAAATCTATTTGTACTGTACCTTGATCAGATTATGTCCTACTGTGTAGACATCTCTTTCCTGCCTCTCCCCAGGTGCATGAATCCCCGTGCCATACCCATGCCAAGCAGCTAGGTAAGGATTGTGGATTGTAATCCAGTACTTAACACGATCTCCAAATGCTTGGAAGCAAAAAGTAGCATAGTCATTGAAAATGTCAATCAGAGAGTCATTTTTCCAGCCCCCATATTTCTCTTGTAGTGCCCAAGGCAGATCCCAGTGGAAAAGGGTGACTAGAGGCTCAATGTGTCTGCGGGCGAGAGCATCTAGTAGGCTGTTGTAGTAGCGGAGACCCTTTTCATTGACAGCTGTTACCATCCCAGTGGGGAAAAGCCTTGGCCAAGAAATTGAAAAATAGTAAGAAGAAACTCCCAAAAAATCCAGAGCTGATAAATCTTTTTCCAGAAGATTGTAGCTGTCACTGGTTCCATCTGTTTGGAAAGACTGTGAATGAATGAAGTGATCCCATATTGAGGGTCCCTTTCCATCCTTCCTCTGGCTGCCCTCCACCTGAAAGGCACTGGTCCCCACACCCCAGAGGAACTTTGGAGGGAAAGTGTCATGCAGGAACATCTGAGTTTCATTTATGGGACTTAAACCAGCCTCTTTTTCCCATATAGTTCTTCCAGTCCTGTCAAATCCTGTAGTGGTTTGTAGAAAAAGAAATATCCATAAAGCTATGGATCCTTTTGGTCGTTGGGTAAACATGGTGCAATTCTGGAGCATATGTGAGAAGTCACATTTCTTTTTGGAGTCTGGAGAAAATCCATTCACTCCCCAGGATCCCTGCTGCGTAGCTTGTCTCCATTTGCCACTAACTGCTGGAGTGTCTTATCAAAGCTTCAGCAAAAACCTTGTGACTGTAAAACTCTGTTAATCATTAGCGTGAACTACAGGACTTAGGATCAGTCCCTAAAAAAGGAAAAAAGGCAAAATAATCCCCTTCTTATAACAAGTGGGACACCTACATGGGGGTCTTTTGTTGCTTCAGGGAAAAAAAGATGCTATCATTAACGCTTCTCAATCAATTCATAGTTGCTCCACATGTCTGAGAGAGCAGTCATGCTGGCTGGCTGTCAGAGGATACCAGTTGCTGATTTGATTATGTTTGAAGAGAACAGAGAAGAATGAGTTTTTTGACACAATTTATCTAAATGACAAGCTGCCACTCTTTAACACGTAATCTAATAGTTAGGAGCAAACGCCACCCAGAAATTGTTTCCAGTAACTGCCGCTGTAAAAACAGTAAATTGTTTTGTGGCTTGTGACAAATTTCTGGAGGCACAAGATTTCATAGGTTAGGGCTTCCTTCTTTGGCTGCAGGAACAGTGTGTTTCCTTGGAATCACTGGCACAAAAGCATATGGGAATCGGTGCAGGCAAGCTGCCACGTTTGAGTTTGGGGTGGGTGTTCCCTGCTTTGGTACCTTCAAACAACATGGATATAAATCCTGACAGCAAGACACTATGAGATCTTTATACATTTTCTCTACTTTAAAAATGAGGGTTTCATTAAGTTTTTCCCCACCTTAGTGATATTTCACATATTTAGGTGGTTCTGTCTTCTTCTAGTCATGGCAGTAAAAATTTTGTCCACGTCATTCTATGTAAGACAGCAGTTAAAAGATTTACATTTTAACATTTCTTTCCCCATTTTCACAAATCTTTGTTGAAGAAATAACCATAGAAAAGATGTATGATGCATTTCACTAGGACTTTTTAAAAAAACAGAAAGGTTCATGATGGAAACTTTATAGTTATGCATAACTGAATTGCTCTTGGGGCTAGTTAAGTCAGATGTTATCATGGGGGCACTGGAAAGGAACAGGTTAGTTTGCTTTCAGCCACCAGTATTCAGATTTTGAAACAGATTCCACATCATGCAGCAAAGAACCAATGCAAGGGTGCACACTTGGTTTGTCTAGGCTGCTAACCTGGTCTGTTGGGTTTTACTAGTGTCACAAGCAGAACATTTTGTTTGCCCAGAACACATGCAACACTCTCCAGCAACTGCATGTTGCACAGCAAGTTTACTAGTAGTTGGCACTTCTTTCCAGTATGTTTGCCTGCCATTACTTGCCTTCACATTGGCTTGTTCAACTGGTCTCTATGGAATGTGACTGTTCAGCTATAGCAGTACGTGGTGGGAAGCACCCAATAGGTTCTAGAAATAAAGTACCTGTATACAGATAGGCTGTAACTTAAGCTTAAAATCACGATGGCATAAAATAACAAGTAAGCAGCAAACACTGCTTGAATCTATGAACAATGGAAGTCTTAAAGCACTGTATTCACGAAGGCTCTTAAAGCACTGGTTATTCTTTTATGTCTGACATTACAACTATGGTACTGCTCAAGAGAAAAGTTGGTAAATGAAGATGGATTAGGCCCCAAACATACTAATTATCACATTTCTGCAAATTTTTCCTTGTTTGTATTCAAATATACACATTCACACACAGAGAGCAAAGAGTTATGCATATTATTTCTTCTTGTATGACACATTTTAACTGTTATTTTCATTAATGTTTTACTTTTTGGGGTAAGCCTTCTTATGAGCCAGTTCTGGCTGATGAGGAAACAGAGTAAAGAATATACAGTGTAACATACATATTTCGTCACTACATCGCACATGTCAAAACTACTGCAATTTCATTTTCTTACCAAGATATTAAGCCAGCTACAGTGTTACCTCGCTTAATGATTGCCCCGCATTATGACAAATCTGCTTTATGATGATCTTTTTGCGATCGCAATTGCGATTGCAAAACGATGATCTAAATAGGGGAATTTTGCTTTGTGATGATCGGTTCCCTGCTTTGGGAACCGATTCTTCGCAAAACAATGTTTTTTTAACAGCTGATCGGAGGTTTCAAAATGGCCGCCGGGTGATTAAAATGGTTCCCCACTGTGTTTAGGGACAGATTCCTCGCTATACAGGCAGCGAAAATGGCCGCCGTATGGAGGAGCTTTGCTGGATGGTTAGTTTTTAACCCATTGGAACGCACTGAACGGGTTTCAATGCATTTCAATGGGGTTTTTATTTTCGCTTTACGATGTTTTTGCTTAACAGCGATTTTCCTGGAACGGATTATCGTCATTAAGTGAGGCACCACTGAACTGTGTTTTCTACTTAAAAAAGATTTTTGTGTGATGTAGATTCTTTACAAAAAGCTTTTTTTTTTAAAAAAAATCTGTGAGTGGGAGAGCAGAAGGTTTGGAATTGGGCTTTCAAGATTCCCTCCTTGAGAACTACACTGTTTCTGGGATAAATCCAATACAATGCTAGTGCTAGCCTCTGGAGGGTTTCCAAGCCCTTTAGTGTAAGTCTTCAAGGCACATAATGGACTACAGGAAGGAGAAGAGGTCATCTTGCCTGATTCTATCAGTATAGGCATGGCATTACATATTGCCCTGTTTTCTACAGAACAATCTTCCTTATTTTCTCTCAACATATTCTATGATAGTCCTTATATTCCCTTCTAAAACTCTCCGACATCTCACACATACATATAAACACACTTGTGAAGAATTATTATTTGTTATGTTTTTATTGTTTACAGACTTATTCCTTGTAAGATCAAAGGAAAAGCCAGTATCTCAACAGAAGTGCTAATCATGCTGTGCAGTTCCAAAATGCCTGTAGGCAAATAATTAATTTATATGATTCAGATGTGATTTCTGAAAGTGAAGGATGATATTAATGTGTATTTATTCTAGTGGTACTCTAAAAGTCTGTCTGAGATACAAACCTGGGTGGGATCTAAAAAAAACACCAAGACTTCATCCAATGCAGAAATATGACAACCTATATCTGAATAATACCACAAATTAGCCCATTATCATTGATTTACAAAGGATACATTTATTTATAAAAGAGGAAACACACACAAAAAGAGTGCCTGACTTAAATTATATATATGTGTGTGTATGTGTGTGTTTGTGTGTGTGTGTGTGTGTGTGTGTGTGTGTGTGTATGTGTATATGTGTGCGTGTGTGTGACTTCAGATGGTCAGCATGTTCTAACCTATTACCTTTTACAGCCTTAATGTTCTCTTGAGAGATGGGATAGATATCCTATAAATAAATTATTTAGGCATACAAAATTGTAAAGTGCAAAGTATTCTGTAAAGAGCTGTGAAACCTGTTAAGCATGTATAAACATAACAAAAAGGTAGCATATCAATATTAAGGTTCCTCTTTCCTCTTTTATTATTCCTTTGTCATTGAAAAGCAATATAAGTCAGCTTTTGTCTGTAAAATGCAAATATCAAATACAGATGCAGTTTAACAAAGAACAATACTGTATATACATTAATTATACCCATGAATATGAATTTGGAGAGGCAATTAGCAAAATGAGCTAAATAATTAAAAAGAATAGAAGGAAAGGTCATGGAGGGGAAAGATAAATGATCTGTAAGAAAAAAGAGGAATACAAAAGTCATAAATTACTCAATCTCAGATTAAGCAAACAGTTTTATATATGGCTAAAGCATGAATATCGGTTGGCAAGAACCTTGCATTTCAGATGAAGGGGAACCAGACTGTTGTATTTTTTTTTTCAGTAGGAGTCATAGTTTCTTGGCCCTTCTCAGTAAACCTGTATATGAACTTTACTTCCTGTATTTTTTTTTGTAACCATTGCTGTTAATTTTTTTAGTTCCATTGTTCAGGTTCATTTTTGGACATACTCTTTTCCCACAGTATAACTCATCAGTGCTTAATGTTTACAGTAAAGATCCTAATTTAATCCTCCCTAGAAGTCACAATGTGTAACAAGGAAACATTCCTTATTATTTAAAATGCACAGTGACTAATTGTGATTATGTTCTTTTTTCTGAGAAGCTCAAGATTCATAATTTGGAGGAATCCATGGCACAGAAACATTTGATAGATCTATGTAACATATACTTGATTTGTTTCTATTTCTTCAACCAGAGGTGATCTACTCCAGAGATTCCAGGTTTCTGCCCCAGGACCCTAAATATGAGAAGGAAAACAGAAAGACAAAAGAAATTGAAAGTGGTCACAGTCCCACTGCCAGCTTGAAAACTGGCATTTTGAGATGTTAAAACACATTGGGTACAGGTTAAACCAATTTAAAATGCTGTTGCATCTGGAAGCTTCCAGGAGCAACAATTTACATTATTTGTTGGGAAAATAGTTATTTTAGTAGAGTACTAGGAAGTCTGATAAAGCTAAAAACAGCCATCCACAGTAACTGGTATCCAGAGGCATAATGCCTCTGATATGGGAAATAATACTGTATATGGTTGTTGTATGTTTTTCGGGCTGTTTGTCCGTGTTCGGAGGTCAAACAGCCTGAAAAACCTACAAGACCCATTGGATCCCTGCCATGAAAGCCTTCAAGAATACAATACTGTATATGTTTTTCAGATAACAAGGAAAAATGATATGTTTTTATTTATTTATATTATAAGCATAAGTAATACCTGAACTATCTCTGGAGACAAAAATGTTGAGCCTGAGGCTGTCCTACTTTGGATACATCATGAGAAGTCAGGATTCTTTGGAAAAGACAAGAATGCCGGGAAAGGTTGAAGGCAGCAGGAAAAGTGTTAGACCGAACGCGAGATGGATTGACCCCCTAAAGGAAGGCACATTCTTGAGTTTACAGGAGCTGTGCTGGGCCTTTGAGGACAGGTCATTTTGATGACTGCATAAGTTGGAAGCAACTTGATGGTACATAACATCAACGCTCTGTTTTAATGCTAAGTACAGTATTTAGGGACGTGGTGGCGCTGTGGGCTAAACCGCAGAAGCCTGTGCTGCAGGGTCAGAAGACCAAGCAGTCGTAAGATCAAATCCACGCGACGGAGTGAGCTCCCATCGCTTGTCCCAGCTCCCGCCAACCTAGCGGTTCAAAAGCATGCAAATGCAAGTAGATCAACAGGGACCACCTTGGTGAGAAGGTAACAGCGTTCCGTGTCTAAGTCGCACTGGTCATGTGACTACGGAAGATTGTCTTCGGACAAAACGCTGGCTCTATGGGGATGAGCACCGCCCCCTAGAGTCGAACATGACTGGACAAAAATTGTCAAGGGGAACCTTTACCTTTACCTTACAGTATTTAAAATAGGCAATCAGTTTTCAAAAAAATCTGCTTCTGGTTAAAAATGATGGTCATTTTGATGACTGCATAAGTTGGAAGCAACTTGATGGTACATAACAACAATGCTCTGTTTTAATGCTAAGTACAGTATTTAAAATAGGTGATCAGCTTTCCAAAAAAATCTGCTTCTGGTGGAGATAAAAATGATCACAGCTCATTGTTATAGAGATCATCAGACTGGCCTGCAGTTTTGTCCTTCCTTGAGGATGGGGGATTATTGTGGTGAGTGTATCACTGCATCAGTAGCTAAACAACTAACAGCCACAGAAAGTTCTGCCCTCCCTTGTCGAATCATGTGTTTTAAGCTGACAGCTCTCGTGTCCCCACATCCGGTGGCGGCAAATCCTTCCCTTTTAAACCCATACTCTGTGTTAACAGAGCTCTTGCCTGTCCTGAATCCCCACAATTTATTTAAAGGAGACGAAAGAAACGTATCTCTGGATCAACTTGGGGCTCTGCAAGTGCTCTCGGACTGCAGCTCCCATTCATTTTTGAGTACTTGGCTGCGCTGAATGGGGCTGAGGGGAATTGCACTCTCTAAACCAGTGGTTCTTAACCTTTGTTACTCGGATGCTTTTGAACTGCAACTCCCAGAAACCCCAGCCAGCAGAGCTGATGGTGAAGGCTTCTGGGAGTTGCAGTCCAAAACTCCTGAGTAACTCAAGGTTAAGAACCACTGCTCTAAACCACACAGGGAGGCCCGCCACTGGTCCAACCCTCGTTCTGTGACGCCTTCCGACGTGTTGCTGTTCGCCCCTCGTGTTCCAGGGTTGCCCTCCTCCCCCCCATGCCGAGTCCCCTGCGCCGGGATTTCTCGAAATTCGGCCCCTGAGGCAGTGGGGCTTCCTCCTCTCCCCGACCAGCAGGGCTTAGCCAACAGGCGCACGTCAGAAGGGTCCCAACACGATCTGCGGGGATCGCGAGCACCAACCACGGTTCCTACGAACTCCGTTGAGTTCCGCGCTCCCCCTCCTCCCGGCTCGCCTTCCTCTGACGAGATCACCCCGCGCGCGCCTGCGCTCTCGGCCTTGCGGGTGGCGTTGGCGCCAAGGGGNNNGGCTCCGCTGACCTGCTGCTGCTTCCGCCGCTGCCGCCAACGGCATAAGCCCGACGTTCCGCCGGAGGCGCTTCGGTTTCAGCCCCGGCGCCAGCCCGAGCATGGTGAGCCTGTGTGTCCGTGCGTGCGTCCTTGCCCGCTCGGAGGGCCAAAATCTCTTTTTTCCCCCGACTGTTTCTATGGAGGGATCGGGGGAATGCTTCCTTGTTTCACTTCCACCCCCCGAGCAAAATAAATGCACGCGGGGCTTCTGGGTTACTACAGGTATTATTGGCCTGAGCGGGCGGAAAGAAGGGTTGGGCGAGGGTGCCCGCGGAATAGTCTTTGCCCCGTCCTTACGTGGACTCAGTGCTTCCCCGCCCAACAAAGAAAGCTTCGGTTTTTTTTGCGGGATGTATGTGTGTGTGTTTCTTCCTCCCCTTTCAATGGAATGTTTCAGCCCTTGAGGGTATCTGGATTTTTAAATCAAAGCCCCAACTTTCAAAAGCCCAAGGAATTATGGTCAGAAAAGACGTTGAAGTGGGGTGGAAGCTTAGGGGATAATTGATTGTCCGGATGTTGACCTGGAGCTTCCACCAGCCACAGTCAGTGTAGTCCGTGGTACAGGATCCAGGGATTTGCAGTTGCAAACATCTGGAGCAGTGGCCCCAACCTTGGGTCTCCAGATGTTCTTGGACTTCAACTCCCAGAAATCCTGGCCAGCAGAGGTGGTGGTGAAGGCTTCTGGGAGTTGCAGTCCAAGAACATCTGGAGGCCCAAGGTTGGGGACCACTGATCTGGAGGACCAAAGTTTCCCTATCCCAAATTACTGCAAAGGTTTTTCAGGGCGAAGCAAACTCGCTAGTCCCTGCTTTGTTGACACAGATTTACTCAGTAACAGTCTACTAGGGAGTATTTTACATATTTCACCAGCGTTCCCTAAAGTTGGCTTCTGTGGTGGTGTTAGACTTCAGTTCCTAGCCAACTTGGCCAGTAGTCAAGATGCTCTGGAAGTTGAAACCAACCAGCAGCAACTGGGGATCTGAATTTGAAAAGCACTACACAGGAGCAAGTGGGTTTATCAGCAAGTGGAGGCTCAGTCGAGAACCACAGCTAATTGACATGCCCTGGTTTAAGTGCCTGTGTAATGCATAAGTTTGGAAACATTCAGTTACCGCATCCATGAATTTCATGTTCCACATTTGTGTTTTAAAGGTCTGTGTATATTTAAACAAGTGTACGTAAGAAGTGCACTAAGGGGTCTCTTAGTAGGTATGGTTTCAAGCACCCTCACTTGTAGATATGAAGTCTCTTTTTTCCATGATATGTCCCGGCTGCCTCTGGTGGCAGTTTGTGTGGCCTAGGTCACCCTTGGATATGCTCACATTTTCCAGATGGTGATTTCTGCTGTGATACTTATTTTTTTATTTTTATTTATTTATTGTATTTATACCCCGCCTATCTAGTCATTTCAGCCACTCTAGGCGGCTCCAGCCCAGCATTAGCTGGACATAATTCTTCAAGTTGCTTCCCTTTGCCAGGCCCATGTTTATGGATGGCAGAAATTATGTGCTGCATTTGCCATGTAGATTTACACATGGGTATATAGGCAGGTTATGCCATACAAATAATGCTTTGAGGCTTTTTCATCTAAGACAATGCCAAGATGTTGGAAAATACAGAATATGCACGCATCCATTTCCACATGTACAAATACTAAAGGGTCCTGTTATGTATACACTGTAAATCAATATATTTCAAACCAGTATGAGGATGATGAAACTACAGTATATGTGTATGGCCCTGGTCAGAAGCTTAATCTCATGTAAAAATGGGATGCAAATTCAATAAATATTTGAATTGACCTACCTACCAGATAAGTACATTCATTGCATGTCAGTGTACATGCAGTATAACAGTTTCCTATGCTAAAGTAGTGACTGTGCAGAAGGCATCCCCTGTATAAAGCAGCCAAATTATTGTGAATATTTTTGTGTTTTAAATAAGTATACAAAGCTATCTAAAGGCATGTAAACTTTTTCTTATATGACCTCCCTTTCCAAGACACACTGGCCTCATTATCTTCTAAAAACTGAATTACGTACAAGCTTTATTAGCAGTCATTTCTAAGCTTTCCCAATAGAAAAAAATTAAGGCTGGATAGTTTTTGCTGAGAACAGCCTTGTTATTGTACCCTTGCCATTAAAAAGGGTTATGAATTATGGAGCTGCGATCATTGGACCCAGTACTATCAACCACTGACTAGGATTCCCAAATCTTCTTTAAGAAAATATGGGAAATATTATGTTGAAAACCTTAGTAGTAAATATCAGGCATAGGTTTTCTGGGAGAAGTGGGAAGTCTAATTAATTAGTAACTAGGAAAAGTAAAACATTTACTAGCAAAATAACATGCTAGTTCTAATTTTGAGATGGCTTAAAATAATTTATGAAGCACTGTCAAGGTAATACTTAAAAACAACAGTATTGTGTAAGCAACTCGGCTTCTTTACAGGTATTCTAGAATTGTGCAAAATAACTACTTGCTGATAATGAGGTAGGTGTTACAGAAGAACCTACTTCTATTATAACAGACAAAAAAACCCAGTTCAGGCCACACTTTGTCTCAGATAACCCACTCAGAAGGCTTTCTCTTGCAAAAGAATCTACTTCTAAAACATTGGACTATAGCCTTTGCCGAAGAAAGGAGAATTAACTAAGTCACAGGCCACACCTTCTTGTCTCATAAAAACCACTCAGAGGGATCTGTCTTGCTCCCCATTCAATGGCAGCTGTTAAGATGGCTGCCATCTCTGGGGACACTGCTTGTGAGCAGGTATGAAATAAATTATATGTTATAATTAAAAATGGTAAGCTTCTACCTCTGTGTTAGATCATGTATTTTGTGCCTGATATATTTTCAGTTTTGCTGTATACCCATTAAACTTTATTCTTTCCCCATTTGATATTTATAGTTTCTTTAATAAAAAAATGTTTTCGTGGTGAGGGCTAAAAAGAGACCTAGTGTTCAGCAGTCTAGTTCTTGAAGATATTGGTAGAGTCACCTCAGTATTATTATGTGCCAATAAATAATATAAAATAAAATGATGCCTGCTGTTTTTTAGTTCTAGTATTTGGGAATTCGAAATAGATTTTCAGTCAAGCTATGTTGTTAGTTAGATCAGAAATGCTAATTGTTATCTATATGGTATTCAAGCAAATGCAGTTTAGTAAAGAGCGTAATAGTGAATTATCTTTAACTAGGAATCTGTTTAAGATACCAAACATTTGAGGAAAGTTTTATCTGGTGAGAATTAGCCAGTTAACTTTTCTTGAAAGCTTGAGTAGGATGGCAGGGTTTTGCACCTGTTCCTTTAGGTTAGCTTTGAACTGTGGCTTCAGCTGTAGTAATAGTAGTAGTCATAGTAACATAGCACCTCCTATTAATTCCTACATGTTAAATAAAAGCACAACCACAGAAAGCTGAAAATTCTAATTGTGAATTGGAGATTCATTGGATTTCTTGGTGTTGCTCTGTGCTCATTAAATTAGGAATCTGAGAATTTATTTACTGCTTTATTATCTTTGCTGGTTCCATTTGTTCATTTGTTATCTTTCTCCTCTGTTTGCTGAAGCTTCATTTCACTTACAGCAATCTTTAATGGTTTGCCTTTGAGTTACTTGATAAGAAATGTATCAGTGTGTTTATGTTCCATTTCATGTGATACTTAAAGTGTGATAGTACAAAACTGTTTTGTTTGGAATATAGGATGGAAAATGCCAACCATACTACAAGTGAGGGTGCTTGAAACTATACCTAGCAGCTAACTTCAACTCCCCTCATACAAGCAGACTCAGCAGGGGCATCTGTCATGAATTTTTGAGACTCTGGCCTGCAATTTTTATGCATCATCTGTGAAGGAGTGGTGTACAGCCTGAAGAAATCAGATTTTACTCACAAAGCTTGCAATTTGTGCATTTTAAAAAAGTGCTTCAATAAAGATATCACCCTGCATCTGCACTAGTGAGAATAGTTACTCCTCACTCAGTTCAAAATTTTGTTTTCAGAGATCATGGGGAGAAGATTCAGTCTGTAATCAGATTCAAACTGTTTAATTGTGGGGAGAGTTAAACCTCCTTGTGATTGAAAAGGCTAGAAATAATTGGATGTAAGTATCAAATTAATTTAGGTTAAATTTTAAAAACAGCAGCATTGCTGATCCTTTGGGCTTTATCATGGGAAAAAATATGCAGACTTCACCATCTCTCTCTGCGGTTGCATGAAATTGACGTAGGTCACGTCTGTGGCATCCTGCCAACATCTCTTTTGGAGGCATTTTGTCTAATCAGAACTTAGCAATAATTGCCTGATAGCAGTCTGAGTTCAGAAGGATAGGGCAAGGACACGGCTCTGTTCTCATCAAAGCTGTGCAGATGATTGCTGCAGTTATAAGTATACTTTGGAGTAAGTCTAATAGGCCCCAGTGGAAATTAATGTCTGAGAAGAAAATGTAGCATCAGTAAGCACACACATTGTACCAGGTTGTACATATTGAGGACTGTAGAGAAAAGGGTGTGCTGTGCATAAAAACTGCAAATGAAGTCTTCAAAAATCTGTCTTCTATAAATTATACAAACAATCCATAGGACATCCTTAAATCCTCAAATCTCAAGAGCCAACAGGTCTGAAAATGTATTTGTGGAGAGCCAAGTCTGGTAGATTTATATATAATATGAGCCTTTCTTTTTCACTTAGCAGCATTACCATATGCACAATTAAATTGTAACCTCTGTTATATTCATCTTCACAATAGGCTTATGGGTTGGAATGCTGCTGAAGGCTGTTCCTTATTCCACAGCAAATCCAGGATTTGAATACAAGGCTCTTACGCAGATTTCATATGTGCAACTTAAAATGCCCTTAGACCTCTTTCCACTAATACTGTATGTTTGTGTGAAATGCAGTAGTAAAGGTTTTGACTCTGAAAGGGGTTTACAATCATATTCACTTTTCCTGTTGTGTTTTTCTTTAGTGGACATATGGTCTTCCATTTACCATTTCCCTCAAAACAGCTTTTCTGCTGCATATTCCTAATCTTCTCTCTTGCTTTCTGTCTTTCTCTCTGGGTGTGTTTGTTTAGAAGGTGGTCTTGTCAGTTTCACCAAGGCAGATCTTCTTCACTATAGTCTTTGCTCTTGTGTCAAAACAACAAGACTAGGAAAAGCTATGAACATTTCCTCAATGCTTGGAGAACTCTTCCTACTAACCCCTTTCCCCAATTCCATCACTATTCCTGATCCTTGTTTTCAAAAGAGGGTGTATATGCAGCAGTATTAGTATTTATTGTAACAATATATTTTTTAAAAATTCCATTCAGGAGTTGAGAAAAAAATCATGAGACAAGTGACGGTGGGTTGGATACTCTCTCTTATATTTTAGTGTGTTTGTAGGACAATGTGGGCTAATATTTAGAAGAGTGGGTGGGAAGGTATTTTCTCCCATTCAAGCTGAAAGGGTCTGGTAAACTTTAAAATAGCTTGGCGGTTAGTAGGCATGTGCAGAAGTAGGGGGAAGATTGCTGAATGACAGGTGAACACCTCAAAAGGTGCTTTCGGCACTGCAGGTGTTAATGTTGAACTATAGCTGGGGGATATTGGCGGGGGCCATGTTGGGTAGCAGTAGCAACATACATAAATGGGAGGGTGGGATGATTAAGTGTTTATGGATTATACTGCTTCATGGCACAGAAGGTCACAGGGCTGACAACTCTGCCATTAAAAAAGAGTCTCCCTGTACTTAGGAATTTTGGTATTACAGAGAAAGATTCTGGCACATCCTACTGCTTTGTATATTTTTTTAAATGACAGATGTGTTTGATCCTAACCTGTGAATTAAAGTGATACAGTTCAGCAGTGGTTTTTCCACTTCAAAGCTGCGGCTTTGAAAATGTGACCCACTCTTCTTGGATCCCATGGAATCATTTTAAACAAATTTCAGACACATTGTTTGAAAATGTTACCGAGATCATTAGTAGTTACTTTCAAGTAATTTATTTAAAGTGGAGGGCAGGGTGGATTTGATTTAAATCAAGATTCAAAATTTAAAAATCAGGGTTTTTTTGGCAATTAAAAAATTTAAATCATGATTTCACTAAATTTGATTTTTTAAAAAAATAATTTATTTTTATCCTCTGGTGGAAGAGACACTATCATAACATCTTATTTAGGAATAAACTACATGGATTTCTGTGAGGTTGCTATAAATATATTCTAGCTATCACATTCTTATGTAGATCTTTGTAGTATATGATATGTTGAGATTTCAAATTGCTTTATGGGAGTCATTTAATTGAAGAAAGTAACCTTTGAAATACTATTAAAAGTCTGAAGATTCATTTAGTCATGCATCTCTAAAAGTTTCAAAGGATATTGGCAAGTGACAGTCATCTTAGAATTGTTAAGAACTACTTACTGTTTAAAATACAGTGGTGCCCCGTATAGCGACGTCGCTATACGGAAACATCGTAAAGCGAAATAAAAAAGCCCATTGAAACGCATTAAAACCCGGTTAATGCATTCCAATGGACTAAAAACTGGC